GTGGCACCTACATGAGGTTCTTTCTTGAGTGTCAAAGATGAACCTCTTGGCACTTCAAAGGAATGCCACCTTTCTTCGTTGGGTCTCTTTCGACTCGATGTTTTGAGCCATGTATCGACTGGCACATTGGCTGGAGGCCTGAAAGTTAGTGGCCTCTTTTCCTGACTTGAACCCTTTTGATAGGTTCTTCTAGGATTGTGTGGAACATCAGAGCCTGCACTTGTTTGGGCATTTCTACTCCATGTTTTGTTTGCTGCTCTCACATCTTCGATGTGTTCAGCAGCTTTCTTGTCAAAAATAGAGCTGCATCGAGGACACAACATTACTTCTGATTTTTTCTTTTGGCATCGTTGCAAGAATTCTGCCAGATTTTCGTTCTCTCGGGGGAACGTTGTTCTGTTTGCTTGCTCTTGCCTGATGGCTTCCTCTGAAACTTTTGATTCAGAGATTTCGACCATGTTGACATTCATGTTGTCTTTAGTAGCAATAGTCATTTGCTTCATTTGAGCCTCCAGGTCTTTTGTTTGGCCTTGCACCGCAGCCAAGTAGGAAGTGGGTTTAGTTCCACATTTTGAGACTCCACTTGTTTCCAGTTTTGGGCCCTCAGCGGCCTTTTGGACTGATTCGATTGTTTTTCTAGAAAGGTTCCCAGAAAAACTGCCAAATATCGGCATATTGATATGATCTTTAGTGACTTCGACCATAGTTATCCCTGGCCTTTTCACCTGACTCCTGCAAGCTTCGATCACATTTACCCTTGAGGGTTCAGCATAGTGGGCTTCCGCCTGCAAAGGGCTCGAATCCACATTCACGGGGGCCTTGTCAGCGAACTTCAGCCTCCCTTCTTTGATAGCATTTTGCACGAGATCCCTGAAAAGAAAATATTGAGATGTTTTATGGCCTAGAAAGTTATGATATTTACAATAGCCTCTTTTCTTTCTTTGATCAAGAGGAGGCACTTTTACCCCTGGGGGTATTATCATTTGGCCATCTTTTACAAGTAAATCAAAAATTTCATCACATTTCGTAATATCAAAACTGTAAGTCTTTTTAGGGAACCTATCATTGGCCTTTTCAGACTCAGTGGGGTTTTTTCCACTTGAGGGGACTAGTAATTTGCAAGAGTATGGTGGCCCTTGTTTTAACTCAGCTAAATCGACCTCACTCTCCTCGACGGCTATAAGTTCGTCGAATGTTTCTGGATCTTCATCGTCCATTTCGACATATGCTATCTTTTCTCTTTTATGAGTTTTCGTCGCCCTAGCTTTTTCAGCTTTAAGGCGTTCTACCTGTCGAACCCTATCGGCCAATTGGGCCATGTCCCTCAGGTACTGAGTGTCTAATTTCTTCCTAATGGAGTAATCTAGACCTCCGGCGGCTATTTCGACTAACTCGTACTCTGGCACTTGTGTAAAGCATCTTGCCTTGAGCAATCTAAACCTATTTAGGTATTCGTCTATAGGCTCGGTGAATCTCCTCTTTACACTAGCCAATTCTTTCAAGCTTATCTTGGTTTGTCCCATGTAGAATTGCTCATGGAACAATCTCTCCAACTGGGTCCAATGGTGGATCAAATTGGGGGGGGAGAGTTGTGAACCAAGTAAACGCATTCTTTGTTAGGGAACTTGGGAAATACTTAATCCTTAGGTTCTCATTGTTTGAGATTTCTCCCACTTCGATTAAATATCTTGCCACATGTTCGACAGTGGATTCTGTCGTGTCCCCTGAAAACTTAGTGAACTTAGGGACTTTGCATCTAGGAGGCAAGTCCGTTTGTAACACATATTCTGACAGCGGGGATGTGAATTTGGGCCTACGGAAGCTCGTATTCATCCCGTTTTGCATCATGATTCTTTCAATCATGGCTGTCAAGTTATTCTCCAAACCAACATTCTGGTATTGGATTTGCTGAACTACTTCGTCAGTGTTTTGGTTTCTATTAACCATCCTTATTTCCGGGGCTACGACTCTCGGCTCTTCGACCCCGGGTTGTTCCATTTGTACCCTAAGGTTCTCTCCAACAGGCTGTTGGACTTGGTTAATAGTGGTTTCTTCCTCTAGAAGTATGCCTTGGTTTCCCCTTATCTGTGCCCTTTGGGGCTGTCGAATGGGTTGGGGTACCCCAAAAAAGTCAGCCAGACGCGACATTTGCGCTGTCATTTGCTGATTCGACTGGGTGGTATTATGTATTAGAGGATTTAGCACTGTACTTAAAGTTTGCGACAATATTTGAACCATGTCGTGGTCGCTTTCGTCAATTTGCTGCCTCAAGACTGTTGTCGAGGCATTCGTAAGGCCAGGCATTACGTGGGACGTTCCTCCTAAGAGTTGGTTCCTACCCATGTTCTCCATACCAACTCCAGAGCCTTGGAGTGGCGAAGAGGCGCTCACTAAAGGTTCTGAAAAGGTGGACGCAGTGTTCGTCAGGCTAGTCAATTCAGAAGTTGGCATGTCGTAGGGTGGTTCTCGATTTATCCATACTGTCGAAAAACCTGGGGGAACATATGGTCTGGTTCCTTGGTTTCCCCTTGGTGGGGGAGTTCCCAGAGGGATTCTGGGGCCTGTAAATGAAGACATTGGCCCCGTTTGTGTAACCATTACTGCTGGCGTTGAACCAGCGGTTACCACTTCGCTTGTGGTTGGAATAACCGTCGCTCCCACGTTTGTTTGTGGGATTTCTCCATTGTTTGGCGGATTCGCCATTTCTCTACTTCTTCTCCTAGTATTGGTTTCGTTGGTGTATATTCTACCACTTCTCAATAACATGCAATACTCTCGAAAAAGGAGTATATTTTATAAAAAACGATTAAACTCGTAAAATCAACACAAGGTCCCACCGGGTGTGCCAATTTGTTTACCGTGAAAAATGGTAAACAACCGCTGATCTTCCAAAAGGTAACTTATTTGGTGACTCGCAGGATCGATCAGATTGATCCTAAGACATGGCTGATTTTAGAGAGTTTAAATGCTTTGAAATAGAGAGTTTTGACTAATCCTAATGGTGATTAACGCAAGTAAGGTAGAGACACTTTAAGTAAATTGCATGGAGAAAAGCTTGATAAAGTAAATAAAAGCATTAAAGGCTTGTTAAATAAATGACTTCGACTGAGATAAATAAGTGAAAGCGATAAATTGCTTGAATGTAAAAGATTTTGATTAAGGTAAATGGTGCTTCACACATACATTCTCAATGATTCTTTCTCTCACGCTGGGTACTTGAATCTAAATGAGTGACTTGTATACAATGATGAACACCCGCAATAAATACGTGAACACTTAGTATTTATACTAAAAATCCTAAGTAACTGCTGGGCAGTTACATCGCTTCGAGGTGACACCACATGGCACGTTCACAACCTTTGACGCCTACTTCCACGCCACGTTGCGCTTGGTAACTGCTGGGAACCGTTTTCCCTCTAACAATTCGAAATTCAAACTGTTCGATCTTGGGCATCAGGGACCTTGGTCGAAAGGTTGCTCCTTCAACATTGAAAACAACATGATTCCAACTTAGAGAAATTTCTCTAAGTATCTTGTCATTCTTTGATAAGCCTTCGATGTGATCAGCTGATCGAAGCCTCCTTGTGTAGGAAACTCTTCTAACTCATAATTAATGATCCATATGATAATAGAACGTGGGTGTCGAATTTAGGAGCCAACAATCGCTGTCATGCTCGACAACGGTGTATGCTTCCCTTCAACTATAACTGTAGACCGAAGTTATCCCTCGAGGCTGTGGCCTGACCCATGACAGCACAGGGTCATCGACCGTGTCGACCAAATGGAGCACTTCTTTGGCTGTGCTTGTCTCTTCAAAATCTATGTGCTCGGATGACTCGGTGGTTTCGACCATTTCACCTGTAAAGCAAAGGAAACCAGTAAATTCGACAGCTAAATCAAATCCACCCTTCCACCACGACACAAGTGAAAGGGGATATTTATGCCTGGACTAGGTCGACGATCACTCATGCATCGAGAAACATACACGACCCACAATCAACACATGGAACTTACGTAAGTCTCGTAAGACTGCACAATTATGAAAAAGACAAAACGAATGCTCATGAGTAACGCGGGCATTGGATAAATATCACGAACATACCCATAAATTCTGCGGGCAACAAATGAATTTGTCGGACAAATTCGTGAATCCACCGAGGAGCAGGTAAATATTTCATAAAAATTCACGAATTTTGCAGGGAGAAGATGAATATCCTGGGAAAATTCACGTATTTTACAGGGAGAAGATGAATTCTTCGGGCCCACTCACAAATATTATGCATAAATATATGAACACCCCGAGCAAAAAACCCCTGGTAGAGAAATTCTATAAATAATCATAAATAAAGCCAAATGTAAACAACATCCAATATGGAAAACACTTACTTGATTAGAGTAGGTGGATAATCTGTGGCGGATATTACAGTGGCGTTGACGGTGGAAAGACAAAGAAACGATACAGGTGACAGAGAAAGTGGAGAGAGAGAAATGTTGAAATGTGGGAAATGGGCCCTAAGGCACTATATATAGGGCTGAGGTGGAATACGAAGCGTCGCATCGGGAAGCCCATCGATCGCCCTTCTCCTTGCCGCCTACGTGCTCAGGTGATAATGACCCTTGATCCCTAGGCCATCATTACAATCCCAAAGGTCATGCCACATGCTCACACCCTGCAAGGTTTCCTCTCCTCGCGAGTCGAGGAATAACTGAAACATTCCCCATCAAGCCAATTCTAACCTCTGCTTGAGTAACCATGCATCCTAACGACTCTCTCCCTCGATGCATTAAAAGATCCCTGATGAAAGGATAAGTTGAACTTAAGTCATAACTCCTTCATCAAGAGCAACGACTTGGAGGTCTCCTATACTGGACTGGGCCTACACTTGGCCCAACTTCATACGAGGCCCAATCCAAGTATGCTGCTCGCGGAGGCTTGTTGACCGTGCCTGCCCTAGACTATGTCGGGTAGCAACCTCACGCTTCGGGAAAACGCGGCTTCGTCATACTGGGATAAATCCAGGAATCACGAGGAGGCTCGTCGTCGACCAGGAGAACCTTACGAGCATCCTCCACTCTTCCCGTCGACCAAGATAAGCCCTCTTGGACGGCCTCACAGCTTGCAGGGAGGGCCCACAACAGACAGAAGAACATCGCGAATATCCTCCCCGTAGGGTTAACTCACAACTCCCCCGAATATCACGGAGTCCTCTTGGTCCTGAAAAGACCGCATCCATATCCTCCTGACTATTCAGAGGAGTCGATCTAGGTCGGGGACCACGTGCTGGACCCACTACGTACTTAGGACCTAGCAATCTCCATTTTGGGCCTACTTACCCAGCCCAACAATGGGGATCTTGGCCCAGCACTGGGGGCTATAAATTCACTTTCACTTGCTAGGGTCAAGTATTCATTCTTTGATACTCACTCTCATACTTGCTCGCACTTCTATGAATCTTACTTTGGCATCAGAGTGTCTTGTAGGTGCCTCCATCTCGTTTCCAGTTGCTGCTTAACTTACAACTCGTAGGCTTTGACGATCCATTTTGTTCAGGTACTATCAATTTCTTCTGTGTTTTCTGCATGACACTGCCGCAATTTTATGATGTGATACTGTTGCTTGTTCTGTTACATGAAATAAATGCGAGATTGAAGTCTCGATGATAGTGACACTATTATTATTGTTGCAGATTAGTGTTCGCTGAAGTTGAAGCAGATGAAGTCGTGGCTAAAGTGTTGATGAAGTTGTTGTTACAACAGTTGCCGAAGAAGTAAGATGAAGTTGTTACTGTTGATTATGAAGTAGAGATTGGAGAAGCTTAACTTATGGTGATTATGAAGATCAAAATTGTGCAGAGAGGTCTCAGAGAGATTAAAGTTATGGAGATGGATCAGAGAGGAGAGAAGAGTTCTTGTTTTCTTTTTGTGAGTTTTAGATATTTCTCTGTCAATTTCTTTGTGAAGTTTTTGTTGAATCTTTCTCTCTATGTATGATTATGCGTTTCTGTTGTGTGATATAGAGATGGATTATGGAGTGTGAGGTTTGTGGTTAGTTTTCTGCAGAGTTTTTTTTCTCTGTGATTTTTTCAGTGGTGATTTCTCTTCTTCTTTATTGTGTCAGTTTTTTTGTGCATCACTATGGTATGAGAAATAAGGGGAATGATAGTGTGTTATATAGAAATTGGAAAGAGAGGGTAGAATAGTAAAACAGATGTAAATATGATAAGAATGAAGAGGTGGATTAGGATAAGAATGTGGGAGAATTCGTTAAACCTAAGGAGGAAGTTTGTGAGAGTGGAGGGCTGAAATTGTGGGAAAGGTTGCTAGCTGTATAATGGTTATTCTTTTGTTTGTTATGGATTTCTAAAAGTTGTGTATATACAATGTACTGGTGTACTTTTTTACAATTTCTTTTTGGACTAATATGTTGAGCTGGATTTTGATTTTATCCTTGATTTCTGAACTATTGTATGGAACAAGGCAGGGCACAATTCATCTTTCGGAAAACATCTCATTTATTATTTCTTCTTGATTTGTGTTGACTGTTCTGGAATTATGAAACTGGGTTTCTTGTATTGAAGATTAAATAGAATTGTGATTTTTTTATGCAAGGCAAGTTTTTGAATAAAAGTCATGATGTGATGAATAAGCATGGTTGCCACGGTTTGGAAGTGTCTTGTGTGTATTTGTTTAGACAACATGGATTCTATTGAAAATGGTTACAATAGCATGGCTTAAGAGTTGGAGGTATTGGTTTATGGACACAAAGTATTTTAGAGAATGGAATCAAGACTTGGCAAAAACATAATTATATGCTTTAAACATAGGAGCACCTTTGCAATTTGTTATGAATTTTGAATGGATTTTTGACATTTGAACTTTGCCTTTTGGAAAATATGAATGAAGTTTGAATGGCCATGAAACTTTTTGAGAGAACTCTTGAATGAGACTTGTTTCTCTTTTACTTTGAACACTATAACTTCAAATATGGGTGAACTTGAATTATCTTGAATCATGATGGACTTGAATGATTGAAAGCTCCGCTTGCTTGAAAACCTTTGGATGAATCTTTGTGGGAAACTCTTGACGAAATGGTGAATAAACTTTTAAGTCCGTGAATGAACATAACCTTGTATGCCATGCTTGGTGTTTGAAAACTCCACAAGAATATATCCGCCGGGAATTGGATTAAAATCAACTTTGAATTATAATGAATGTCTTGTTCCTTGAGTTCAAAAATAAACCAATAATTCATTATTTAGACTTCAAATCTGAATGACAAATTTGAAATGTCTCGAACTCCTAACTTAAAATTCTCCTAATCCATGCTAAATAGCCATTTCAATTCCAAATAATCCAACTACAACTTATTTTATGGCCAACTTTAAGCACTTTGATTCGTTTGAATACTTTTGGAAAACTTGAATGAATACCCACCAAACAATGATACCAAATCAACTTCTTTTCTTAATTAACAAAAAAAAATTCACTTGCAACTTCAATGAATTCCCAACTCAATTCAAATCGACTAACAATGATGATATTGCCTTGATCAAGAATGAACTCACAAATTCATATCTCGTGCCATGGCCTGAAACATTAGTAACTCAATCCACAAACGTCTAATTTTGAAAATGAAAAGCTAATACCCTAGAGGAATTCCCTTGAGGAAAATAAGCCCTACAACACATAAGAAGATACTTTGAAATATAAACCACAAAGGAAACATCGAACTCTTGAAGAGAAAGATTTTCTCCTGACTTATATAGGAAACTAAAAGAAACCCTTCGGATGAAAGTCAACTTGAGAAGTTTAGTAAACGACACTCAAGATAGTATTACCAGGAAAATCAAACGAACCTTAATTTCATAACCAATAAGCTCACACATGATGAGTGACAAACCCTAATCTTTGGCCTTGAAGAAGAAAACCTCGAATGGAGCAAAAACGCTGAAAAATAACTTTGACTGGTCATAGGGAAATAATTCTTAATAGCCTTGTAGCTTGATGAAGAAAAAATACACAATAAATATACCTCACAACCAAAATTCACACTTCACTTCTTGAAGAAGAACCGAAAGAATATGAAGAAATCAACCTTTATTTAATATGTACAACCAAACACTCTGGAACCCTAATATTGTTAGATCACCAATCCTTTTAACCCATGTTACTTTATTGAATGAAATGCATGACTATGCAAAACGTCCTAATGAAATGATGCAAATGAATGTGAAGTCTAAGCCGAATAAAATCAAGATAGGAGGGCAAATGTTGGGGTGCAACAATAAGATGCACGAACTACTCTATTTTTGGAGATGACTTGGGTTTCAATGACGCATACAGGAAAATAAGATATAATACCCCGCTAGTGATATTTTCTATAGTCAATCATCACAATCAGAGCACAATATTTGCAACTGCAACTGTTGGTGATGAAACCTAAGAAAGTTATGTTTGGCTTTTGGAGACGTTTGTGGAAGCTATGGGCGGAAAGTATCCTGTATCCATTATAACCGACAGTGATTTGGCCATGAGGAATATGATAAAAAAGGTATTTTCTAATTCTCATCATCGTTTATGTGCCTGAAATTTGTTAAGGAACACCACTAGTAACATTAAGAATAAGAAATTTGCATCCAAGTTTAGGCAATGCATGCTGGAAGATTTTGAAGTTGATAAGTTTGAGTTAAAATGGAATGCAATGATCAATGAGTTTCAACTACAAGATAATACTTGGGTACGCGAGTTGTATGAAAAGTGGGGTATTTGGGCTACAACCCACATACGAGGGAAGTTCTTTTCTGGATTTCTAACAACCTCTAGGTGCGAAAGGCTTCACTATGAATTTGGAAAATATGTATATGTTCGGTCAAATTTGGTTGATTTCTTACAATAATTATTCTTGTGGTTGAATTACATTACGTATAGAGAAACTAAAGCAGATTTTGAGACATCGTACGACAAGACAATGTTACTAACTCAACACAAGTTTTTGGAGGAGTTTGTAGCGAATTGTTACACCAGATCAATTTTTAAGATGTTTAGGCCAGTTGTGGATAGAGCCTATCGGTGCAAGGTTGAGAAAGTAACAAAGAAAGGATCAGTATTTTCATATATTTTCATCAAGTATGCGAGACCAAATATCGAATGAGTAGTGGAATTCATCGACGAAAATCTACAATTTGACTGTTCTTGCAAAAGGTTTCAAAATCTGGGAATCGAATGCGGACATTTGATGTTTGTTTTGATATACATGAACATAGTCAACATTTATGAGTCACTACTGTTAAAGAGGTGGAAGAAAAGTGCGAAGGACAAGGTAAATGCGTGGTACGAGGGATCCAACATTTACAACGACATATGTTATATTTGTTGAACACTGTAAGAGAATGGTTAATGCAACTCTTAGGTCAGGTAGCCCAGAACATTTAAGATCCACAATAGAAATGGTTAAAAAACAAATGGATAGTTTAGAAGAAGTTGGTGGAAGTGAAGTTGGTCTGAACCCTGACAATGGTATACCAGGTGAAACGAGTTTAAGTAATCTGCCACGTATCAGGAAGAGAGGTGGTGCGTCTGCGTCTACATCACAAGAGAGTCAAAGGACTGAAAATTCAAAGAGGAGAACTACTATAAGGTGTGGAAATTATGGAACATCGGATCATAATTGGGCATCGTGTAAGGTAGTTCAAGGCAAACCTTGGACGAGGAGTCATATGGATATGCAGATGTTGACACCAATGATGACAACGAAGAGTTTAACATTGTAATGGTATGTGTCGTACCTCATTTTTAAATAATCGAACTAATATTTATATTGATTTGTAGATTTCGTAACAAAATCTGTTAAATAAATAATGCAGGCTATAATGTGATGCTGAATAGTTTGAAAAGAAGGTTCGGTCGTTGCTGATATTGTATGGAAGTTTGTTGCTGGTGGCCTTTTTAATTTTATTGAGGATAATGAGCTTGAGTTTTCTGCACAAGTCTTGTTAAATTTTATTGTAATGTGATTTTAGTTTTCAATGTGATGTTTTCTTATTTTTTTTACTATTTCTTTATTTGATGACTTGTATGGATATTTTCTAAAATATTATTGTGAAATATTGTTATTAAAGTCAATTGTTGTATTAAAAAAAAAGAAAAAGGGATAGTGTAATATTTTTACACTATCGACTAATCACAACCATGTATCTAATTACAACACACTTTTATTTTAATTTTTTAATGACAT